ATTTTAATTCTTTTTTTTTTAATAAGGACCCTTGAAAAATTCGCGTGTAACAAAATTGAGGCAGTACTATGCGGCGTGCGCTAGAAAGCATAGTTGTGAAAACAAATGAATTCTAACTTTTTAGCGATGTTGTAGCGATTTGTCGTATTTATTCGAATATTTAAGAAGTTAATAATATATTATGAATCAAATAGATGTATTGGCATATTTTATGCACACACACACATCATATATATATATATATATATATATATATATATATATATATATATATATATATATATATATATATATACATTTATATACATATATAAATTACCATTTTCCATCCCATTTATAAATACTTGAACATGTTTTACCGCTTTTATTTTGAAAAAAAAAAGGAATTCAATTGATAAAACAAATCAAATTTTTTTACAGATTCAACATAGACTGATTAAAGTATTTCCTTGTCAGCTTTAAAAAATGATACATCCACATATTTAAATGATCTAAATAAGTCAACTACTAAGTGGAACTAGTTTTTTTCTAATTAAAATGTATTATTCCAAAACTTGCACTGAACATATTGAAGTAATGCCAATCAATTTATAATTTATTCACAAATATTTCACATATGGGATGATATGAATATATGATTCATATTTCACATATGGTCATATGAATGTTTTTTCTTCCACTATGTTGCTTCTAAAATATTTATTCTAAATTATAGAAGAATTAGATACACAATATTCATATTCACTTTATTCTGTTCCATTAGCCGCTCTGGGTGAGGAGGGTATGTTTTGGCATGGCAGTAGTAGTTGTAATTGTATTGTAGTAGTTATAGTAGTATAACAACATATTTCCTTAGTTTTTCCTTTTTGTTATATAAACATTTTAATTGTAATTATTTATAGAAATAGAAACAAATGTTGGAAATATAAAATACCCTTAGGGTAGAAAACTATGTACATAATTAGATTTTGTATCATGATGTAATAAAAGATTTGAAACTGTAAAAAATTGTAGAATGAATTATAAACGACCCTAAAGGTTGCCCATCTTAGAGTTCCTCCTGAGCAGGTGAGAACGTTCGTTTCCATTACAAGGGGCGTATAAACAAATGTTTGAGGTTTTATTAGCATCACCGCTGCGCTCCCTTCTCATCTTGTTGTTTGTGTTACATTAAAAATACCACAGGATTTCGCATAAAAGATGCTGTACCGGGACATATTTACACTCGGTAATTAGTTTAATTAGATATTTCAACTCGGCAGGGTTACGCCCTCCAATGGGGTCGCAAAAGTCGGAATACAATGTAATACGCAGGCAAAAGGTATGCAATAATTATTAGGAATAAGCGGGAGGAAAGGGATACATGGATGCGAGTGTTTAGCTTTATTAAAAGGTGATATTGTATATATATATATATATATATATATATATATATATAAATGCCGAATAAAGATTAGCCTCTACTATAGACGAATTTTGCAAATCGCTGCGCTGAAGTGGCCTTCACAAAAAGATGCCACTGGAGACATACCGTGTTTTCATTTGCAAAAAAACGGGTAAAGTGTTGCATTTCGAGAATGGCTCTTTAATATCGAAAAACTCGAAGAAAAGCTCTAAAAAACTATCGGGTTGGCAACTAAATAAGTACAGCTTTCACTCTTAGATGGTTTCAATTTTAGGTCTGCTGACGTAGTCCCAAACACAAAATATATATTCATTATAGTAGTAGTTTATATTTTTATTTATAGTAGTAGTAGTATTTTAGGATAGTAAACTATTTAGCTGCCAATCTAAAAACAAGTTTTTTGATCGATTGCGTAGTTGCTGTTTAACGTTCGATGAGATATATAAAATGAAATTAAATTTATTCGTCGTATTTTACTTTTGAATTTCTGCAAAGGTAGAAAAACATCAAGTTCACAAAAAGTTGCGAACTGTTTATGGTAAAAAAGCCTTAAAAAAGGCAATGTCAAAATTGGTTTGCCAAATTTCGATCTGGTGATTTGTCATTTAAAGATGAGAATTGCTCATAGTCCGGTTAGAGCTGATTAGATAGGAATTGCTACTTTGAAATGTTATCACCGACCAAGTAATGATCAATTCTGATGTCTACATTAAACAACTATCGAAATTAAACAATATAGTTGGAAACAAATGACCTTAATTGGTAAATCAAAACGGTGATTTATTCCATTACTGGAATCACAATTGCCATTTGGCAAAATTATTGGAGCTTACTTAGGATATTTTGCTAAATCCACCATATAGGCCTGACGTTATATTATAAGATTGCTTTCAGTTTCTATCATTGAATTAAAAGAATAAAACAATAATCATGATGGTGTCAAATTGTACCTGATTAAGATTTTTGCTAATGAAAAAGCAGAAGTTTTATGAGAGTGGGATAATGGTGTTCATTGAGAAAATGATGAAAAATGACAAAAAGTCAGTGATCAAAATGGGCAATGCATTTCAGATTTAGATTTTGACAAAAATCCACATTTACTTAGTGATACATAAAGTTTCGTGATACATAAAGCCAACGTGATACATAAAGTTTCAAATGTGAAGAAGCAAATAAAGAAATACTGCAATGGAAGAAAGAAAACTTTATTGAATACGATTGCATGGATAGAAGGAAAGTTGATCGGACATTGCAAATTTGCAAAAGGAGCAAATACAGGTAACTAAAAGTCTGTATGCTGCACGTTGAAACATGAAAGCAAGAGTTTAAAAAGTAAACTATAAACAATGAAAGGAACAAAGATAAACAAACTCAGCGTTGCCCTGCCTTCGGGCAAACCGCTAATTATAATAATTTAAAGCAAAAAATATATTTAATACGTAAAAAAAACGTAGGATAAAGATAAGATAGAAAAACGCATATTTCAGCATTACTTGATATATTAGGTAAAAAAATTACATTTTGTATGTTATTAAAAACATCTGGATTAAAAAATCTCATTGGTTTTTGTTTTACTGTAGTCTGGTTTCAAATGCATACATGTACATAAATTTATTAGTCTTTCTACATCAGTCATAAATATTGCAAATGTGTATACGTCCCTTTGTGAAATTACAAGGTATCACAACTTCAAAGCACAAATCAAATGGAAATATTGTCATCCAGTCAAAAGCCAACGCTGGCGATTCGTGCCATGTAATTCGAGTCTTCTATTTTCGTATCTCGATGCTTTGACGGTATTTTATTCCACTTGATTTTATTTTTCGTTGCGAGATGACGTCTGTTTTATTTTGTTATCATTTTGTTCTTTTATTCGCAACCAGGTGTCACAGGCGACGCTTTCGAACCGCTGACTGACTGCATGTCACCCCGAGCAATTTCAGATAAACATAGAACATGTATATACATGTATATACAAATACAATTATATATATATATATATATATATATATACGAGTATATATATATATATATATATATATATATATGTATATATATATGCCTAAAACATAGCTCTGTACGAATCAGAGATATGGACTCTAAGAAAGGTAGACAAAATCTAGGTGGACAGTTTTGAAACGTGGTGCTGGAGACGAATAGAGAAGTTAAAGTGGGTAGAAATAGGGACCGATCCTGCCGCATAATAAAAAAATGTTATGGAAAGGCCATGTTATGAACAACTTTCCATAGTAATATTGAAAAAAACCATGCGGTTGGTGTACAGTCAGGCGTATTTCTCAGGTTGTCATATAGAAAACCTAACATAGAAATCGCACAAATGGCAAAAAAAAACGACCTTAAATAATAGTATGTTTCTGATACAGCTCTATAGCATACGAGTGACGTTGCAGTTTGTGTAAAACGCCTGAATGCACAGCTAATACATGACATTTTGACAGTATTCAGTATGATTCAGTAGCATAATGTATGAAAGCCGGAGCGTAATATGGCCTTGCCATAACATTTTTCTTTTATGCGGTCCCATAATAACTAATGAAGAAGTGCAGTGGAAGAAGAGAAAACTCTACTGAGCAGGATTCTGAAAAGTAAACTGGATTGGACCCAATCTGCAACAGTCATCGAAGGTAAAATAGAAGAACTGGGAAGAAGCAGAGTGCAGATGGTTGATGACCTACGCAAGAAGAGAAAACTGGGAAGCAGATGTTTGGTAAGGTAAATGCATAAAAGTGAATGAAAATGTCATTATTGGTAACAAAATGGTAATCAATGTAATCATTATAATGTTGAAAGTACATTTGAGAAGTAATCATTGATTTGTGAACAAAATTTATACTCATTATTAAAATTCCTATAAAAGATCTGATAATTTGAAGTCCATATCTGTAATGATAATATTTAATCGCCACATGTCATTTTTTTAAAACTTTTTCTTGATCTCCGAAATCTCGAAACTCGCCTTTCCAAAATTTTAATCAATTTCTTATTCCGTCAATACAAGTGAAATGTTCTTTAAATAATTCACAATGAAAGCATCGTTCACCCAAAATGAATTGCCATATTTTGCACTTTTTGCCCCGTATATTCGGAATGACTAGACATGTCTTTCAAATCGGTTGGTCAAAGAAAAAACTAATCAGCACGTCCTTTCATCAAGAGGAATCGAGTGTTGACGTTATTCAAATCGTGAACGAAAAATTGTATCCGCACATATAAACTAGCACTTTTTGTAAAGTATGTTAAAATGATCCGAAACTTTTGTAACGTAAAGTAATGTACAAATTTTTATTTTTGGTTTTGTTAGGATTACATCTTACAAAGGGTAGTTAATGAAAACGTGAACAAAATTTGTATTCATTATTAAAATTCCTAAAAGATATAATTTGAAGTCCATATCTCTGATAATAACTTTTGACCGCCGCAGGGCATTTTATTAAACTTTTTTCCTTGATCTCCGAAATCTCTGAACCTGCCTTCCCAAAGTTTAATCAATTCTTTATTCAGTCAAAACAAGTAAAATGATCGTTAAATAATTCACAATGGAAGCACCGTTCACCCAAAAAGTGAATCGCCATACCTTGCACTTTTTGCCCTGTATCTTCGGAATGACTAGACATGTTTTTCAAATCTGTTGATCAAATACAAAACTAATCAGCACGTTTCTTCATCAATGGCAATCGAATGTTGGTTGAATCATTCAAATGGCTGACCCGTGCTCACGAAACCGTGAACGAAAAATTATATCCGCACATGTAAATATGCATACATACACATTTTTTCCAATGTACGCCAAAATGATCAAAAAATTTTGTAACGTAAAGACATGCAAAAATTTGCATTTTCAATTTTATTTCAATAACAACTTACCCTAAGGCTAGTTAAGAATTCAGTATTTTTTATTAAAACGTATTTTATTTGAAAGACCCGTATCAAACATATTTAGAAAGTAATAGTTGAAAATATAAAATCTACTGTGCTCATTAAAAATAGACCTTTTGCATACACCCATTATAAATATGCCTTCCCGAGAATGTGAAATAATACTATATCCAACGCCCGCATTTCTACAGCGGTATCATTTTTCCTACCAGTATCATTCTGCGCGCAAGTCATCAAATTAATGATGAGCCGTCGTACTCAAGGTATAGTTTTCCCCAGTTTTCCCCATGGCACAGTTTTGCCTTGCAAAAGCAAACGACGCGCCCGTTGCCATGGAGCCGCTTTCCGCGGGGAACATGTTGCTTCGGGCCAGAGCAACGGTGCGCTCGAATCACATGCGTACTGCCCCTAAACTCCCTCGAGGAGGAATTTTGCGTAACACGCTAGCGATAATCTCTGAATGTGATATTGAGACTTCATATTTAGATTTGTATTGCGATTTTGTTTAAGAATATTTAAAATAATTATTATTGTATCATTGTATTTTATGAGGGATGATATACCTCCGTGTAGAAATCCGAACAAAATCGCAAGTGTTATGTACACATTCATAATTATTAAAATATATGTCTTTATCTATATATCTATCTTTATGAATGCTCGAGAAAGTTGAATAATATTGATTGGATACATTTGAGTTACCGAAAAATTTTACTAAAATATTTGAAGGCTCTATATATTATAGTTCTACTCCACTTAAAATGAAAATAGGTACCATAATTAATTTAACTAACCATGCAGTACTATAATTTTTTTATTCACTATTATATTTACAACTGTCCAATTAAGGGCAGTCCTAGTAAATTTGTGGAATTTGCAATTATTAGCCGTAAAGGGACATTGTATACTATACCAACTCACAATAGTTGTCTTTCCATTCGTTAGATAATTTTAACAATATTTTATTGATAATAATAAAACTTAACTATTAGTATCAATAATTATACTATATCTGATGAAAAATTTTGGAACAGTAATAACATCAAGCTAATTTCAAAATTTTAACCAATAATTCTTAAACCTTTTAAAACCTAATAATTCAATAAATAATACCTACAAACCTTCTTAAATAAAATAATATATCTACTAACCATAATCATT